GATTCCACCTCTGCGAAGGCGCCGGAGGGAACAATTGAGGATGACCGGAAAGACGGTGGCGGCGACGACGATACTGATGAGGACATGCCCATTGCACCGCGGCGAAAACGAGCTTCAAAACCAACAGCTTCCTCACCACCTGGCTCACCGGCACAGACCTCAGCAACATCCCCGGTGGGTACTCCAGCACGAAGCTCGCGGGAATCATCTCCGAAGCCTACCGAAGATTCCGACTCCGACGATCTCCCCGAAGATCTGACAAAAAACACTCGTTTCTTGGCCTTGGTAGAGAAGAGGAAAAAGGAACGTGAAGCGAGAGAGGCTGTAGAGCGAAAGAAGGAACTGGAGCGGATGGAGCAAATGAAGCAATTGGAAGGAGGGGAATCTGGCTCGGACGATGATGATAATGACAGACGAATGGCTTCTCAGCCCACCAGACCCAAAAGGCAGGCAGGCAAGAAGGCATTGGTGGAGATGCATAAAGAGAGCCAACGTTTGGCGAGAAACATGCAGCTTGAACATGAAGCCCGAACACGGAAAAAGATTACCAAGCAAAGCCTGTTCGATAAGTTCAACTTTAAGGTTACAAACCCAGAGCCAGAACTGTCAACGGCATCCCCGAAGCCACCAAGTCCTTCAGAATCGAGGTATTGTTATGGTCATATTTAATTGTCGAAGACTAATATATTGCAGTTCTACCAGCCCGCCCAAGTCCGAAACAGCACGTCATTCAACACCTGGCCCTGAGCCCTCAAACTTGGCGAAAGAGTATGAGAATCGTTCGGATAGATCGGATTCCGAGGACCTTCCTGATGCCCTCGATCTTCTTAATTCTACGCGACCTGCTACTCCGAAGAAAAGTAAATCCCTGGACACCGAAGATACTCCACGTCCAAAGATCGATAAAGGCAAAGGGAAAGCCATTGAATCTCCTCCAAAAGTTGACAAAGGCAAAGGCAAGGCTATCGAACCATCCCCACCCCCTTCACCTAAACAAAAGAAACCAATGCCGCACGTCAAAGTGCATCTTCCAATCCGTGCCCTCGCAGATGACTCTGATTCCGATCTTGAGATAGTAGACCCTGAAATGCAGGCACGGGACGAAGCAAAGCGCCTTCTTTTGGAGAAGCGGAAACTGATTGCATCAATACGACGTCCCCGACCGATTCCTAAGTACATTTCCACTTCCCCGAATGGAAAGGCACATATTAGTTCAAAACAGTTACACCTGCAATTGCTGCAAAAAGGTCGGCTCCAGGCAATTCGAGAACGAGAAGAAAAGATTGAAGAACTACGGGCAAAAGGGATCATCGTTCAAACTGCGGAGGAACGGGAGAGGGAACAGCAAGAGGTCGAGTCCTTACTCGAGAAAGCCCGAAAAGAGGCACTGGAAATTAAACGGCGCGAGAGGAAGGAGGAGAAATTGACAAAAGGGGAGAAAGTCAGTGACGACGAAAATGAGGATGGTGATTTTGAATGGATGGAAGAAGAGGAGGAAGAGGGGGGGCTTCTGGATGAAAGTAGTGTGGAGGTTTCCGATGACGAAGTCGATAACGAACAGCAGGAGAATGGATTGATTGACGGCGAAGCGGATGGATCTGGTTCCGAGGAGGAGGGCGCCGACGTGGAGATGAAGGACGTTGCACCGATGGATTTGAGGTCACCGGCTTTTAGTCTCTCATCTCTTAACCCACGCGAGCGAGACTCCGCATCACCCACACCTACACCCCGTCTCTCAGATATGCCGCCTGCGTTTATCGAATGTGAGGATTCGGCAGATGATGATGGAGGGTTTGCACCATTCAAACGCAAGCTTCCTCGAAAGAAGCAGCGAGTGACGGATGACGATGATGAAGACGAAAACGGCGATATGGTTGTTCCTGAAACTCAAATCGGACCTAAGATCCCAGATATTTTCAAGAATGCGCCACAGGCACCAGCAATGGGGATGACACAACTCTTTGCCGGAACTCTGGGTGGTAGTGCTGCGTTTGAGATGACGGTCAGAGATGTGGGAAAGGTGATTGACGAAATGAGGAAGCTCCCCGACGAGGTTCTACCAAACTCGCAAGCCCCTCAAAATCTTGACTATGAGCCAGACTCGGTTCTGGAAAGTCAAGTGGGTGGCGGACTGTCTCTGGACTATTCGCAGAGCCAAATTGATAACCAGGATTCGTTGCCGGCGTTGACTCTTGACTACAGCCAATCTCAAGTCATGGATTCGCAATTTACCCAACAGATTCCGGACCCAACACAAGACTCCGGCTTTGAGAAACCCTCCAGTCCAGCTCCGCCTAGATTTGAGGTCACGCCAGAACCCCCTGCTGGATCTATACCGACCCAAATACTGGATGAACAGTTTCCCGAGACCAAGAAACGATCTAAAGGCCGTTTGGTGAAGAGAGCTGCTGCAGATTTTTCAGACGAAGAAAAGGAATCAGGAGACGACGAAAACGACGAAAGCGATGATGATGGCAGCGATGATCCAGAAAACGCGTTTGCAGTGTTCAAAAAAGCCGCCAGAAAACACAAGATTCCGGCCAAACCATTTGACAAAAGCAAGTCTGGGGCCAAAGAGATGATCGACGAAAGGGCCGTGGAATCCGACGATGAATATGGCGGTATTGGAGGCGGAGCATCCGAAGACGAAGGGGATGACGAAGCTGGGGGTGACGAAGAAATGAAGGATCTTCTCGACGACGAAGAGCAAGATATTGATGAAGACGCTATGGCTGCCTTCTTTGCCGAGCGCGAGAAGCTACAGGATGAAAAGGACGTGAACCGGCTCTTTCGCAATATTCAGAACGGTATGCTCAGAAAAAAGAGAGGCGCAGACTTTGACTTGGATGATGATAGCGATGACGAGTACATGGCACAAGAACGGCGGAGGAGAGCGAAGAGGAGGCAGATGGCGCAGATTCGGAAGGCGCTATTACAGAATGAGAATCTGGGGAAAATTGCAGAGGACCCGAAGAAGGCTGCGTTCTTTAGGGTACTCGAGGACAATGCGAGTGATGAGGAGGGTGACTTTTTGGATACGACTGAAGATGACCTATTTATAAACACCGGGGACTCGCAAAGTCAAATTCCACTCGATTTTCAAAGTGAGGAACCGAGTGCCGGTCAGGGCTGTGATTCGGTGGATGCACCACCGCAGCCACAGCCAAGGGACCCTCGGAGACCCGTGAGGTCTAAGAAACCAGCTTTGGCGGATATCCGAGAGGTATAACTTATTCCCACTGGCTTTTTGACTAGGTTGAGGCTAATAGCTATGATAGACTCTCTCCTTCCTCGGAGTTGAAGAAAACACGCTCATCGACCTTTCTGACTCAGAAGACGACTCACAACGGCGGCGTACCACTACGGCAGTAATCGACCGTACACTTTCTCGTGGCTCATCATCCATCTCCGTTTCCACCAAACTTGCCTTCCAGACTATGGAAAGCGTGGGTTCAGGCCCAGCTGGTTTCAGGGTCCCTTCCCTGCTGAGGAGAGCTACCGGTAGTTCCATCTCGGGAGACAGCCAGAGTTCTGGTTCCGCCACGACTGAGAGGAGCTTGGGTGATTCTCAGGGACTCAAGAAGGGTGGGACGAAAAGTTGCAGTATCAATTTCCACGCGAGAACAAAAATCGTTGGAGACGGTGTAGGGAAGGCAGAGACGAAGAAGATGAAGGAGAGGGAAAGGGAGGTGAAGAATAGAGCTCGCAATAGAGGAGGGTTAGCAAGTTTAGGAATGGGCGGCTTTTCATGAAAGGGGGGAGAAAGTTTATAGAGTAGATGGGTGGGGGATCTTTGACTGCATGCAGGAGTTGAAGGCGTTTTTGATATCATGACAATTGTATCTGGTTAGAGGGTTTTGAAAAAGAACATTTGATTTGCTTGTAGAGTACTATACCAGTAGAGTACTTTCCCTCAACGGTTGAACACGGAAATCACCCACCACCGGGTCACGTGTCTATGCGTATCAGACTCATTTGACTGTCTCAGTCGCAGTTTCTCTCCCTCTCTGCACACTACAACAATCTCCACGATGCCGCCAAAGGTACTACACAAACATCTCTACCCACCTCAGCGAACTGAATTGACAGACAACATACCAGACACCCCGCTTCATTACCCCCTCCACCACTTCACAGCAGCAGCAGCCTGCAAACCCCCAGCAACCACCACCGCGACAACCCCGATTCACACCAGCATCATCCACCCCCGCCACCGCCGCACCGCGCTCAACCCCAAAATTCGTCAGCGCTCCCCCTTCATCTTCCAGCTCCTCGCAGAAACGACCCCTCTTCCGCCCCCCACCTCCCGCACTACCATCAACACCAACTCCCGCATCCAGACTCGCCTTCCCCCCTACCGCCGCCAATGAACAGATCGACTCAGACATCGTAACAGACTCCTCACCTGTCGTCCACCCACGGAAGCGCCGCTGGGAATATGAAGACGACGACGACACAAACTCTCCACCACCATCCTCTCCCCCAGTGACGAACTCCCATCCCCAACCCTCTCCCGTACCCTCCGCACCCTCCCTTCACCCCTCTACCACCCGCCTCAAGCTCCACCGGCATTGTAGCAGCACCGCCACTATTCCGTCCCACGGCGGTTACAGAGTCTCATCTCCTCCCGCTCGACTGGTCGCCGACGAAGAAGCGGAGCGGGAAGTACGTGGATGGAGGAATTGCAGCGATGGTGGCGGGATGGGTGGTTGAGACGCGGAATTCGCAGGGGAAGAGGAAGGGCGGGGAGGTTATTGTGACCGGGGTGAGGGTTGAGGAGGGGTTTATTGCTGTTGTTGGCGGTGAGGGGGAGGGGTTGGTGTTGGTTGGGGGGAGGGAGAAGGGGGTGGAGGTGGGGGGGAGGGTGGTGTTTGAGTGGCCGTGGTGGGAGGTGGAGGTGGAGGGGGGGATGTGGAGGATGTGTGTTTTTTGGGCTGTTAAGGGAGGAGAGGGTGATCATGATGATATGTTCTACGATAGATGAGGGTGGGGTATAGAAAGCGCTAATAGCTCAGTTGGGAGAGCGTCAGACTGAAGTCTGAGATTAGTTAGAGAATCCGGGGTAATCTGAAGGTCACCCGTTCAATCCGGGTTTGGCGCATTGCTTCTTTTTGTTTTTGAGTGATAGAAGGTTGATAGAACTAAGGGTTCTTTTGCTAATGGGTTTGTAGTAGTCCCGCGGGTTTTAATTTTTTGACTCAAAGCGGAGAATTGCAGTGATATTCTCAATATTTAATTCTTGACCCACCAATGCAATAGGTACTGTAAAGAAAAAATGAAAAAGCGTACTAGGAGGAGAGTAATCCTGTATAATCCCCTACCTTATATTACACCCTATTTTCCACATCCAGCTCATCATCCACTTATCCGTCCATCCAACTTGCAGCAAAAAAAAGGATACAAAGAAAAACCGAGAACAAAGCAGGTAATAGCACCATCACAGACATGAGAATTTTCCCCAAACTCCCCCTCGTACCCCAATCTAAAGTCCCTCGGGGTTTTACAAAAACGCCTCCCTCTTCTTATTGTACGCACGTTGATCCTTAAGCCACTGCCGGTACTGCTTCACACTCCCGATCTTCTCTCCATAATAATCCGGGACTGGGTTCGAGAAGCTCTGGAAACTAGGATCAACACGGTTCTTTTTGATATGTTGCAGGAACTCTTTTTCGCGCTATTCCTACGTCAACCTCTCTCTCTCTAACACACATTCCTCATTCACCATAGAACATACCTCAGCAATCTGCCCGATCCACCGTTTCTTAACCAACTTGAACGCAGCGCCCCCCAACGTCGGTCCAGCCAACCACCCGGCAGCACCGCAACTGATCGTAGCAAGCCCAAACATTATCAATGGGTCCATCCCAAACATTGTCTGCGTCACATCGATCTCTTTGTTGGCGAGGTACCCCATCCCTACACTTGTGCCAAGGAAGGAAGTGAAGATGCTTGATGTGAGGTTGTAGCGGCGTCGTAGGCGGCGTAGGCGGAGGAAGGAATCCCAGTCTAGGACTTCGTGTTGTGATGGTGCTGCTACTGTAGTGGGGGGGACAATGGTGGTGGTGGTGGTGGTGGTGGTGGTAGTGGAGGAAGAGACGGTGGTGGCATGTCGCGAGAGGAGGGGTTTGCTGAACGCGGATACGGATGGCCGAAGGAGTGTGCGCGGTGGTGGTAACATGGTGGGTTGTGGTGCGGGGGGGAAAAGATGGGTGGATGACGATGATGATGGGCTTGAATTTCTTTTCGGTGTGGCGTTGGGGCGCCATCATTGGCCACACACCACTAGATTGGTTAGATAGATAATCGATGCGGGTTATCCGCGTTTACCGAGATCCCGACATCGTTGAATGGAAATACAATCCACTTTCATGCATATCTCAAGATCTCTAATTTAAATAACCCCCCCCCATCCCGTCAACGGTTAGCCTATGCCAACAACGACTACTACAACCCCGAACGAAAGAACCCCACTCCTTCGCCACCGTCACTACCGCTCGTCGAGCTTGAGAGCTTCACATAATCACCGTCTTCTACTCCTGGTCGCGCTAGTTATTCTTACGCTTGGAATGGGGCGGTTGGTTAGGAGGACTCGGTTGTGGTTTCCGCCGGCACCGCAAGGGGTGGTGGTGGATGATGTTACGTCTGGGGGGAGTAGTGCTGCGGTAATGAGGGATTGTTGGTGGTGGTTGGCGGCAGCGGTAGTGGTTTGGGTTGGGGGGATTTAGTTCTTGTTGGGTTTTTGTTTCGATTGGGCGTTTGAAGTGGGTTTATGAACGACATTGATATACCCCGGACTGTGTGGTCGTGAAAATGGTGATACTGGATGTTTTGCGGGTGAATGTATATGCGGCAGGTAATACTGCTTCAAGAAATTTCTAGTTTTGCGATAAGTCTAAAGGTTCAATATCCGGTCCATATATACCAATTTGAGTAGTACCTCACATGGAAGTTTATATCCTCTTTTCAATCACGCCAGGCCCACATATCCTTCAGCCCTACTTAGTACGTACAGGTAGAGTTGTCAAGCGATCGAAGACAGGTTCTTAAATAATCCATCTATACACATCAAATGCATCTGTCCGCATTGAGATCTGCGGAATATTAACAGTGAACATATATAGCGGTTTCACCATCGTACAAGCAAGGCCTCCGACGCTTCTACGACCCCCTACGACGCTCAGCATAGCAATTCACGTACATTGTACATGTCCACATACCTAACAAAGTCTCAAAGTCTCGTGAACCCATTTTGTACGCCTTGATAGTGTATTTCAGGATTTTGTGTCAGCGGTTTTTTTTTTACTGTGGCCATGTGTGTCTTGAGGTTTCCCCAGAACCAGGAAAGCCCACCGTATGATGTATAAACTTCTGAGAAGCCCCCCCCCATTTTCATACCGCCGCCGGTGTACCGTCAACAAAATGCAAAGTGATGTAACAAGGTATGTACCTTGATTTCTCTAAGAGGGGAATGGCATTCGATCGATTTCATCTAACATAACATGCCTCAAAAGGGGAATAAAAAATAACAGCGTGAAATCATGATCATAAATTCAAGCTATCCATCATCATACCTAAATTTCTACCACCGCCTGAGACAGCTTGCCCCCTCTCCCAACCTTTTTTTGCAACTACTCGAATCCTCTAAAAGAACTAAGCACACTCCGGATATATATAAAACTTGTATACATGTGTTGCAGGAGCCTCGCCATGCCTCCTCACACTACTCAAGAGCGAGGGTTGGGCCATGCAACTCACTGCCAACCATGGTCTATCCTGCGCATAACGCCATTGTGTATCGGTTAAAGAGACCGCTAACGACAGCCCGGGTTTTTCCTTTTGGATCCTTTAATAAAGTGAGCGCACGATGGCGATAGGCAGGAATGTAGATGGAGACATACAGCTTCAACTTGAATCGGAGCTTTGACTTGATTCTGGCTAGGTAGCAGGATTCCTGGGCTATGGTCAGTTCGTTTTCAAAAAGGAAGGGCAAAACATACCGGCATCGTTGTAGACTTGTTTTACGACACAAGCGAAGTGGGAATAATGTTCGGACAGTCCTGCCCGGAGTTCAAGACTTCTCGTCGATATATCGCTCAGCAGTGTTGTTGACAGCCATCGAAACGAGCTCAGGGCGCCAAATCGCACCCCCCGCACCGGTTTGTGAGTGGCAGATGGTATTGGCGCCAATCTGCCGGCACGCCGCTTTCTTGATGGCTCCATATGACACTGCCACATTCCATCGCCCTCTCCAAATACTTTCCTCAATGTGCTAGCCTAGTCCCAAGACAGTCCCGGGACATATGGTCTCGTACTGAACACTAAGTGGGCGTCGTACGCGCGAATGGTAGTTAAGTATAGTAAGTGTGAAGAGAAGGAGGAAGAAGTGAATCCTGGGCTAACCGGTGTAATGGACATGGTGAGGGTGAGCTATGGGGATGCATTTATTATACCGCGCGTAATGACTCGTATGGGGCTTCGGTGTGACGGCTTTTTTCATGAACGGATGACTGATGTAAAAGCAGCAATTATGTGGTGTGTGATGGTCACTTTTGGTGAAGAACAGAAATTAATAGACGGGGTTGCACTCTGACGTGTGACGTCCGAACCATTGCGCTCGCTACAGTACTCGCCAGATAGTAGCCCCGTACCCTCTACCCTTAGCCCTGAAATGGGCATCAAGTACTGATCCGACAACCACATTATTTTATGCCATGCGCGAAGTCTAGTCAAAATCGTCTCCATAAGGGTGAAGTCAAAGAATTACAACTAATTGCTCTTGTACGTGATTCCAGATAGCCCATAGATGAGTTTTGATTTGCGATTCCGATAGCAACTTTCGGGGGCTTCTGATGATGGCAGGGAAGCAAGCAGTCATAAGTGTATAAGGTGCGGCTTTGACTAAGCCCAAAGTTAAAGTAGTCAAAGCTCTGTATACAGTCAGACCTTGCTGTACCGGAACGCGATGTAGCGGATACCTTGCAGTACCGGATTCTCTAGGAGCAGAAATCCTTCCACCATCAAAAACCTACCTGCTATACCGGATTTAGGCGTATAATGGACCGGATGGGATAGTCAAAAATATTAACCCCTACTCCCATACAAATAATTTTTGCTATACCAGATGCCAAGGTAACTTATACTGAATTAAGTATGTGAGTCACCATTGCTGGATCTCTGACAGGTTATTTTTGGTCTTGATATGCCATACTTGGTGACTTGGCCTCACTACAGTGCTAAGTAATTGACTTTTATAACGGACCCTTGCTGTACCGGATGAAAAAGGCTGGATTTTGGCGTCCGTTATACCAAGGTTAGACTGTAATTGTATTTATAGTTTCTCCTCCTCAAGAATAGACTATCTTCGTTACATTTCACTTCTGACCCCCTACAAAGTGCAAGTGCAACAACACTTCTACCAAGCTCGCGTGCTCTGACGATGTGCAATATTAACGACAGAGATAGCGCAAGGAATATGTCTTTTGTAACTTCCTCAATCACCGTGAATATGTTGCATACCACGATAGTCCCCTACGCCTCGACCCAAACCATGTCCTTGCCCCTTCCCCATTGGCATTTCTTTGGCAGGAGCGCATCGCACGTGCCAGATATCCAGGTAACGCCGCCCTAACCCTTACTCCGCCGCATGAACGATCTTCCCCAACTACACCAGCTCAGGTCCCGGAAGTTGATGTTGCACTGTGAACGTCACCGGACTATTAGCGGGCTCAGGGGCACCGCACCTGGGGTATTATCTCGCAAGACGATAGTTGTGAGGGGTGAGTAAATGGAGAGAGAGCGCGGAGGTTTGGAGAGAAACTAGAAGGGTTGGAATCAAGTGAGGTGAGGAGATTTGTTTTTGCATTGTGTAGCATACGAAATACTATGACGCACAAGAAAAGTGGGAGAATAATTACAAGAAGGGAATTAGTATGGCTCTCAATGCATTTAATCTAGTCATTTAAGTGTCCATCACCTTCACACAACCCATGCAAGTGCATAAAAGAAACTTTGGTGCTTCGAAACTCAAGCGTATTATAACGGTCTTCGTAGATAGTACACTCCCGGCAGACAGCTAATTTATTGATACGGAGTAATTCTGAC